TGCCCTGACCCAGGTGCAGGAATGAATCAACCCATCAGACTGTTCTTGTCCCCGAGCCTCTCCAGCTGGGAAAAAGGCAGTTTAAAACAAAATAATACATTTCTTACCAAATAACGAATACCAGCATGATTTTGAAGAAGCGGATCTGGATCTCTGTCCCCAGGCGTCTCTCATTCTCCGTGTAAATCCCTTGTCTTCCTTTTAGTAAGGAGGCAACTGGAAAGAACACAATTATGTTCATTAATATTATGTGCATCTTGTCAGTTATAGGCATAAGGATCTCAAAAATAAATGTCTGTAAAGAGAGAGCAAAGGAACACATGGATTTGCCTCCAGCAGCCGTTCAGAAGCTGGAAGAACCATCATCAAGGAATCTCACATACACCTTAATGCTAAAGGAAAAGAAGGACACATACTGTGGATTCCTAAAACGGGTAATATCCCCACTAGCAGTTTTTTCCTCTCTCAATCACACTGAAAACAGACAACAGTATGGTCAACACTTTTCCTTTACAACAAAAGGGTAGTCCTTACAACTTCTAGATAATGTGTGTTACAGTGATGTGTTTATGATGTGATCTTCAGCATGAAATAGAACACACCGTACCTGACCGGGCACGTTTTATTTCACTGTGCAGCTGAAACAGCGTTGGCTACACCTCTGAATCCTGGAGGTGTAATGTGAGCAAAACCGGACAGGTATGCCACACGCTGTTCGGCTATCACAAGGAATATGCATATGCACAAACACAAATATACTCAGTGTGCATTTTCCCGTTAGAAGTACCACTTTTTATAGGAAAAACTTCTTAAAAGAACAACTGTTCCTTTGAAAGTGAGTATCAGGGAGGGATGCAGGGTCGATGGGATGAAGGCTGATCTTTGAGAATACAAGGTCTTCTGTTGCTGGTTTTATATACTGAATGTGTAGATGATAAGCTTGAATTCAGGTACTGCAAACGTCTAGAACTGATCGTATTACATGCAAAGAATGCATTGAAAAGTAGCTTTTTTTCAGTCCCATTTCTTCAAAGGACTGGATAACAAATTAAACGGGAACTTCATGATCCCATCTGAATTGTGTACCATTCCCATTTGTTTCATAATCTCAGGATTTTTAGCGCCAGGGCTGCCGAGAAGTTAAATCAACTCTCAGATCTCACCAATATCATCCTTAAACCAGAAATATTCCATTTGAAAATCCAGGTTGGGACCAATACATGGTAGAGTTAAGCATCCACTATACACTGCCTAAAATACTTCAAATCAAGAGTCATTTAGCAGCATAGAAACACCTTTGCCAGTCTGTAGTAGAGGTTTATGGCAGCATGGCTTGGGTATGTAATCAGAGCGTCTCCAGGGCACATGTCCCATCCAGGCAGTACCTTCATTTCAATTGGCAATTCCTTCCCAGCCCTTGCTCTATCTTTGTGATTTAATGAGGCGCTATCCTGCGTCGCTGGATGCACAGGCGTGACTTACACGTTACTGTTATGTTGCTGAATAACACATACTGCTTCGTGCTGGCCATTAGGAACATACCTGCTGATACTGTCCTCCTAAACAGGATTGGGTTGACCACCAGCACTAGCAGGAGCGGGGCATAGGTCGTGACATAATGTGGGATTGCATGCTCCAAGCCATTTTCACAGCTGAGAAGAAATCATTAGCAGTTCAGGCGGGTTTTTTCCCCCACATTTAACAGTTCTGGCTATTTTCTATATATCACTTTTAACTTAAAAAAAAATAAAAGGAATGAAACAAACAGATGCTAAACATTTAATCCACAGACCTTCACCACCAGTTCACATGGGACACAAAGTTATTAACATGCACCATCTGTGCATTTTTCTGCAATTTAAAGGGACAAATGCAGAGCTGAAACCCAGAGTGGGAGAACAGTAGCTTACAGCAGGAGCTCTGTCACAGGCTCTCTCACCCTGCAGCATGTCTGAGTGCCTGCACTGCTGGGCGTGTTTCTCCAGGGCCCTCCAAAACCCAGGCAGGCATTTCTAGGATCGCACTGACTCAGGGACGTGCGTGCCAGGGATCAAAAAATCCCAACTTTTGGACCTCTGTCTCTAAAGCTGACCAAAAGACATTCAAAATGCCAGAGCACGCTATGGTTTCGCGGGCCGTTCCCAGATCCCTGCTTACCTGGAGATGGAAGGGTAGTAAAGCAGTGCGATTCCCTCCACGCAGAACATCACTGCGAGGCCCCAGGTCATCATGTGGTACAGCACGATGGTACTGCAGGCACCAAACAGGACAGGCGTGGTTAAAGACACTAAACCTCACGCTTCCCACATTGCGACGTGAAAATAGGGGCCTCACTGAAACAGAGCTCTGCAGGTACGGAACGGTGCAGAACAACACTGACAGGACATTAAGCTAAGGTGAAACGGGTGGGCTCATGTCACAAAAAGGATGAGCCAAAGCACTTGTTCAGGCCTGTGCCCTCCAACCTGTAGGCTGGAAAGCTTTTCCCTTATGCTCAAAAGTCCAAAAGGACCCCCTGCATCCTTCATTCCTCATGCAGAGAGCAAATTAGGGGATTAAAACTTAAAGGAGCCAAACAGGCAAATAAAGCGCCCTCCTGTAATTTGCAGAGAATTATGTTTATCTTTGGACTCGAATACTGCTCCCATCATAGGAAAGTTCAGATCTCTGTGTGTCAAAAGTCTTTCATTGTTCACCCTGCTCTTAGAATCAGGCCCTAATACACATGATTTTCTTTTTTAACAGTGGTGGGGGAAGAAGGTAGGTCCTAGTTGTTTCAGACTAGAACTATGGGACATTACAAAATCAGGTTTGTTCTCCACGGGCTGAATTTAACTCAGAAATCTCTGTTTTCGTAACATCTGCCAGGTGAACCATGTCTCCAGTACCTGACTGCTCTACTCCTCTGGGTAGAGTCACGTAATTCCACACTTAGCAATGGCAACCAAAGGTCATTTTGCCCTTTGTTGTGGTTTAACCCTTCTAGCAACCAACTTAGAAACACCTTATATTTTCTGTCTGGTATTATAGTATGGTACTTTCCAAAGTGTTTAGGTTCTTCTGTTACAGACATTGCAGAAAAATGTATAGTAGATATGCATCATTTTTCTTTAAAACTTTACAAATGTGATCAGAAGCTTAATAATGACCACAATGCAAAGTGAATAAAATAAAACGTGAAAAAAAGACCATGGAGAATGAACTACATGAAAGCCAGCACTTCCCCCTTCCCACTTCTCTATTTTCAGGATAACACTTTTTTTTGCTGCAAGAATCAATTTCCAGTACAGAGTAGGGACAGTAACAGCATCTTGCTGCAATAAACTTTATACAGCCTGATCTGTTTCCTATTTTTCCAAAGCTTAAATGAATTCAGTTGCATTTAAATTCCAATTGGACATAAACAAATCAATATCTGAGCATTGCCCTGGCAATCTAAGCACTCAGCACACCTCTCATCCACATCATTACCCGGCAACCGTACGAACATCAGGTGTTTGTACAGGCTTCACTTACACACTCAGACAACTGCAGACAAACGTGGGCATAGAGTTTCGGAAGGAAAATAACACATTCAGAGCTTTAAAACTCTGGTACCTCAGTCCAGCTGATCTTCTTACCACCAAGTAAGAGTCAACAGCGTAGCAAAACAACCACCAGAAGCCAGCACTATATAATAGCTGGATCCACATCTGCAGGGAAAAGAATGCCAAGTGTCACAGCTGCTTCCCAAGCACCACTGTGGACAGGGGAGGGACTCAAACCTCTGGCCTGGTGATTTGTTCTTGACGTGTGTGTGTTTTCCAGCTGAGATTATGAAGTATGAGATCTTACTCAAAATCACAGGAACAGAATCGCTGTAGCCAGCGGGTCAAGTCATGGGTAAATTGAACAGCATTTGCTTGCACTGCTTGTTCTGTTGTTGAGGAAAGCTGTTATTTACCTCTCCAGTCCTAACCTTCAGTGTCGTGAGTGACGCCCGAAGAAGTTTATAGTGTGGATGTTTTAACTTAAGGTTAAAATTTCTTAGTATTCTCTCAGTAGCTGAGGCATGAAAACACAGCTGAGGTCAGTCGTCAGCACAGTGTGCCTGTGCATCCTGGGCTCGGCATGTGACAAGCGTTTTCTCCATGCACAAGGGCCCAATTTATGGAACGGTTGTTAAGGGAAAAAAAAGGTCATTAACAAAAATATCACTCATCCTCTGAAAACGTTATCCATACTGAACTCCCTGACTGATTTCTTCAATAAAAATCCAAAGGAAACAGGTTCAAGTCAAGTTAAATTCCACAGTGTTCATGACCTGACCCTATGCATTTTTCCCATGAGCCTATATACGTTAAGTAACCTTCCTTTGCCGCTGTTTATAAATTCCAAATTTCTCCCCTGCAGGAGCTGGCTCTTTGTAATAGCCTGGAACTATTCTAACATTCAGATTACCTTCATTCCAAGCCCTCTTTCAATTCTTACCTGAATATCCTTTGTCACGGCTCCATAGCAGCATCCTTTCACAACTGCAAGCCAATATACTTGTTACTGAGCCGAATGTCAGTGAATAGAGATCTACCATTCCTTCCTCCAAAAGGTAAATCAAGCTGGAAAATATTTCCTTTGGGTGTAGACCCTACCTCTAGTCATTTTTGACACAAATTATTCAGTATTTGATTCAAACACCATGACATTTTCATAGAACCACAGAATAGTTTGGGTTGGAAGGGACCTTTAAAGTGCATCTAGTCCAAACCCCCTGCCATGGGCAGGGACATCTCCAACTAGATCAGGTTGCTCGGGGCCCCTTCCAGCCTGGCCTTGCATGTTTCCAGGGATGGAACATCTACCACCTCTCTGGGCAACCTGTTACAGCGTTTCACCACCCTCACTGTAAAAAAAAAAATAAAAATTCTTCCTTATATTTAGTCTAATTCTGCCCTCTTTTAGTTTAAAACCATTGTCCTTTGTCCTATTGCAACAAGAACCACTGAAAAATGTCACCCCCAGCTTCCTTGTAGCCCCTTCAGGTACTGGAAGGCCGCAATAAGGTCTCCCTGGAGCCTTCTCTTCTCCAGGCTGAACAAGCCCAACTCTCTCAGCCTGTCCCCATAGCAGAGGTGCTCCAGCCCTCTGAGCATCTTTGTGGCCTCCTCTGGACTCGCTCCTACCAGTCTATATCCTTCTGATGTTGAGGTCCCCAGGGCTGGACACAGCACTCCAGGTGGGGTCTCACCAGAGCAGAGTACAAGGGGAGAATCCCTTCCCTCGACCTGCTGGCCACACTTCTCCTGATACAGCCCAGGATACGGTTGGCTTTCTGGGCTGCCAGCGCACACTGCCCCCAAGTCCTTCTCCTCAGAGCTGCTCTCGATCTATTCATATGTCAGCCTGTATTGATACCAGGGGTTGCCCTGATCCAAGTGCAGGACTTTGCACTTGGCCTTGATGAGGTTCACACAGGCTCACTTCTCGAGCTTGTCCAACTCCCTCTGGATGGTATCCCATCCCTCAGGCATGTCAACCACACCAGACAGCTTGGTGTCATCTGCAAACTTGCTGACAGTGCACTCATTCCCATTGTCTGCATCATTGATGAAGGTACTAAACAGTACTGGTCCCAGTACGGACCCCCAAGGGACACCAGTTGTCACTGATCTCCATCTGGACATTGAACTGTTGACTGCTACCCTCTGGATGTGACCATGCAACCAATTCCTCATCCACCCAACAGACCATCCAGTCCATCCATCAAATCCCTATCTCTCCAATTTAGAGAGGATTTTCCTAGTGCACAGCAGCCAGGAAATAAAACTCGGTTTCCTTGTAATGCACTTTCTCTCTAGCATTCAGCATGTAACTTCTCCTGCATTTTTACATATTTACAGTTAAAAGTTGCACCATTTACTATACACACACATGCATACAAAAATAAACTGTTGGGTCTTTCCACCTGGAAAATCCAACATAGACAAGACTGTCTTCAAAAATAATATAAATCAGATCCACATAAACCCAAAACCTTTCTATTTTTGCAAAATGCCACATTTTGCTGGAGTGCCTGAGAGGTTACCTCTCTGGACACCAGAGGTTGTTATTCAAAGGAGATGCCTAAAGGCCTCACTCTTTGGAGTTTGTGTTGGCTTGTGGTTAAAAAGGAAATAAAACAACAGTACTGAAAGAAAAATAAAATAGAGTCAGAAACATCGTATTAACACACATGAGAATGTTAGGGGAAGTGAGTGGAAGGAGGGTTATTTTTCATTCCAGTATAATTAAATCTAAATTTAGCAATTGACTCGGATTACAGCACTTTGCTGGAGCCCGAGAAAGGAAAAATAAAAATTGTGGTAGACCGCTATGCTGCTCACCATCTAACCTGAGATCCAAATGAAAAACAAACAACCTGCATACAGTATCTTTGTCACTGTTTAAAAATATTATTTTTTGTGTTAAGGGCCAGAAAGTTAAATTTAAGACACAGGGAAACACGTTTTTTCAATAGGACATTCTTGCTACAAGATACTGATGTTGCTGGTTTCCCTTTCCTCAAAGAAAAAAAAAAATCAACATTTGCATCTCATAAGCAAAAGTGAAACGTTTATGACAGAACTGAGAACCAATAGATGAGCACAACTGGTACTGGCTTCTACAGCACAACTTTATCGTATGCCTGAAATTGTTGTTATATAGGCATACAGGGTACAGTGGGCTGCATTTTGGCACGTATTGTTTTATTTATAAAATACTGGAGCTGAATAGTTTTGTTTACATGTGGCACATCCTCTTCTATGTTGTAAACTTTGAATTGTAAAGCTAATGCTGCTATTGTTCATGCATTAATTCCTTGGGCACCCTCTGTTCCTACTGAATTTGGGCAAAGAGATGATCTGTCTTATTTGTCATTCTCCATGTTTTGGTAAAAATCATGGCCTCTTTTCTTGAACAGTGAACTTGTGTGTCTGGGACAGTACTGTGATTGTGACTGAGTTTCAATCTGCCTTTTTGGAATGCATTTACATTTTCTTATTCTAAGCTTTTTAACCCAGAAGATACTTAGGCTTGGCCAGACGTGGTCACTCCTGAACGCCCATGTAAGCAGCCATCTGAGCTGTCATCCCGCATGGCAGGGACAGAACATCTGCAGCTGCTTTGCGTCTTTGGGTATATTTATCTGGCCATCCCCGTGTGCCTAAAACACACCCTCGCACTGCAAAAGGTAATTTAAGCTACCGAGTTGCTGGTTTCTGTCAGTGCACACAAGACGCCACTGCACGGGCTGTAATTTCTGCTGGGGAAGGTGGCCAGATACCCTTGTGCTGTGGGTGTGATGGGGCTGCCGGGGTATTGTGCCAGCACAAACCGAGACAGTGATGTCTGTACCCTTACACCTCTGCACCCCTGACTTTAGTACAGGTCTGAGCTCCTCTATCCCAGCACTCCTGCGATAAGCCAGTACCCCAAGAAGCTTGGGGCCAGCGTGTCCCGGGCTGCCCTGCGCCCTCAGACGCACCATGGGCACCCCGCACCCTGCCCGCCCCGACCTGGGCTTTCGGCTGGAGCCACAAACGGACTTGCAGGGGTGTGGCAGAGGCCAAATCCGTCATATCCAGGCCGTGACTCACAGCTGCATTTCCTTTCGGACACAGTGGTTTGCCTTCCAGACTCCCCACGAGGAGGGAGTGCCAGCCGGGGGCAGGAGGAAGGGGACACGATCTCTGTACCTACCGCGCTCCCCACGCAGAAGGCCGAAGGCCACACGCTGGTCCCATTCACCGCAGAAATGTTAGCTATGAATCCTGGGAAGCCTAGCCACACACTCGACCTGAAGATCACACCTAAAGAAAAAAACCAGTGTATTAATGCTCTGCATCGGCTGGTGTGATTTGAGTCACATGCTTCTGCCCGGCCACATATTTCACATGGCAGCCCAGATTTCGTCTGTTCACAGCAAGGCTGCAGCTGCAGAGGAGCAGCGCAGGAACAACTGCACTATTTAAACGTCCGTGTAATCGCTCGGGGAGAGGAGCCCAGAGAGTCTGAAGCTGCTGGGACTTGAGACCTTACGCAGATTGACTCTCACTTACCTACAGATACTGCCAGGCACTTCCCTGAAATGAATTGGGCAGCATTTGACAGACTGACATAACCCAGTAACTCTTTACAGGTTTACTGGTGTATATTCACATTTCTCTATAATCACTCATTCCAAAACCAGAAGTTATTATTTCCCACGTTTCGCTGTCATTGTTTTTACTTGCAGCTCTTTTCCTCTCTATCACAGGACTGAAGAAATCAGGGCTAATTAGGTGTGAACAACACCCTTTTTTTTTAATTAATTTAAGTTTGTCAATGAGATTTTCTGGGCTTGCTTGAAATCTGCATTAGAGCACCAACATACAGCAGAACAAGCCCACCAGGTTTCCCAACGAGAGAACAGTTTCCCACCCACTGAAGTGAGTCTAATTCAAAGGCAATGATGGATAAATAGTTTGAGTTCGCCAATGAAAGGGAGAAAAATAACTTTTTCTATCGCTGGCCTTATCTGACTGAAAGGACCTTTTCCAGGTGAATGCACACAGGCTTTTTCCATATCTCTCTTTCTTTATTTCCCTCTCTACTGTTTGTCTTAATAGTGGCACTTGTAACATACCATAAGAGAACCTGGCTACATATGAAAGGGCAAAAAGTTCTAAAATCCTACTCAGTTCTCAATCAGCAAGAGAGACTTACAAACAGCACTACTTCTGTTATCTAATGTGAGGGCAAAAATGTTATTGTAGAAAAAATCTCATCCTGTATTTTCATAGCACGTGTCATGGTAATTTATATGTAATCTGGCAGTAAATGCCATACACTGATGTGTCAGCTTTAGTTTCATTTTGACTCACGAGTTTTGTTTTATTCTCCGTTGTTTTATTCCTGCAGCCTATCAGCCAGGGGCTGGGCAGCAGGTTGTCCCTGATAAGGGAGCTTCGCCCATGTTTCAAAAGCCCGGGTCCAGCACGATCTGTGTACAGCTACAATTCAAATTTGTACGCTGTTGATGTGATGGGCCCAGAAAGTGGCTGGCACCTAAACTAGATGGCAAACTCGGTCCAAGGGGATTTAAAGACGCGTAGGAAATGTTTTTCAAACTTATTCCGAAGGATCAGCTAGGTGTTCAATGACAGCTTTTGTTTTAAGTACGCTGCCTCACCTCCACTTCTATGCCTTACCCTGAGAACCAGCCACTCTTCCACATTCTGATTTGTTTTAAAGCAGAGGTTTTGGTGTAGATTTGTGAAGAGCTTTTGCTTCTAAACTACAGCTATTAAACAAGATCTTTCTCACCCAAATGCCCACCATTTTCTGATCTTGCTTAGCCCAAAACTCCCCGTTAATACCTACAGCACGTTTCCCTCAGAAATCTCTGTTGTCCACTCACCAGCTTCACCTGGCTACGGTACCTCAGAGCAACAACAGCCTGCTATAGCAAGGGTGAGGGGCATCAAGCTGGCACTTACCTAAACCACCAAGGATGTCACAAATGGAGATAAGGAGAAGGATGGTGGAAGAGGAAGAAGCCTTGGGCATCTTGCGCGGGCTCTGTCCCTTCTTCGGCAGGAGCTGCAGGATGGTCAGTAGCAGACTGACCGAGGCACTGCCAATGCAAACTCCGCAGAAGACTTCAGGCTGGAAGTTCATCACTAGCTGCGTAGCTGCATCCCGGTTTGGGCAGCAGTAGGTTTCTAACCTGGGAGAAGCCATGAAGCGTCCGGCTGGTGGAGGAGCCCCACAAGCAGAAGAAACTGCTGTTGCTTCCCCAGGGCAGCGTTCGCTTTTGCTTCACCCTCCCCATTAGTCCTCAGTGCCGAGAATCACGCGATTGAGGGATCATGTGCTACTGCTGCTGCTAGAAGTAAATCCCCTAGAGCTGCCTTTCTCAGCCTCTCCCAGCAAGGAGATCAGATCCGAACAAGAAAACGCAGTGTAATCTGAAACATGCCCCGTGCTTGCTCAGAGCCGTTGGCAACAGTTCACTCACGTATTTCGGGTTGCACACTCTGCGGTACTGGAAGACTTAAACTCACCAGAACACTGAAGAAGGTTTAAAATAAATAAGGATGCAGATGCCAAAGGAGAAGCGTTACATTTTAAAAGGTGTTTCATTTTAGCCCCATCCCACACAGCACCCTGTAATCACTGCACATTAATTGAAAAGATGAGTCCAGACACAAGCAGTCCCAGCGTTAGCAGGGAGGAGCAGGGCTATAAATCCACACCCTAACCCAAATCTAAATCTTAGTGATCCAACCCACCCATCTCTGTAATTAAAATTAGAAACATGATATGCTGTCACTGTAGAAAGAGATTACATTTAGGAGGACAGTATTAACCTCAGCCTATTTACACCCCAAGCACAAAAAGTTGTTGTCTTTAGTCTGTACTGTCTGCGGTGGATCAGCTTAATATAGAAAATTTTGGGACTTTTGATTTCTCAGGAATAGTTTTCTTTTTTTTTTATTTATTTGTTAAGGGCTTAATATGAAAACATGAATTTGACCTGTAATATTTCATTTTACTTTATAAGCTAAACGATATCCTTTAAGTTAGGGGTCCCATTAGATACAGCAGCAAATACTTGCAATCATAGATACAAAAATTAACTTACCCATCTCAGCTGAGTTTCAAACTCCCTGCATCAACCCTCACCCCTCCAGAAAACTTGTTTGTAGGAACACGCCGAGGCAATACGGGCAGGAGCATTGCCAACACACTTGAAATGAACTAGATGTGAAATAACAGTCATGGATTTTATAATTAGTCCTTATAAGAACAAACGGACTAACCTTTTATTTCTTTTTTCCCAATGGCCCAGTTTACAATTTTAGCAGAAATGATGAAGGCCTGATTAATGACAGTGGTATGTTTTGTGTGCAGGGCTTGTAAAACACAGAGGCTTCAGCCAGTATGTTTGCCCTCAGCAGAGAAAACAGCTGTCAGTCCTGAGTAAAACGGTACCTGCTGGGTTCTTCATCACAGGAGACACCGTACACGCTTGATCGCAGAGCGAGAACGAGCCCCACCGAGCTCATCAGCCCGCTGCTGCTGCTGCTGCAGCCTCCCGGTGCGGGACAGCCGTGGCAGGGCTGGGGTGGTAGCTGGAGCCCAAGCTGCCAGGCAGGTCGTGCATCCACCCAGCCTGTTCCCAGGCGACTCCCCAGTGCTCTGCCCAGGCTACGTCACCCGAAGAGCGGGATGTCGTCTCACAGATTCGGGCTCCTACGCACAGGTGTCTGTACATCGGCAAGGTGTCTGGACTCTGTAATGGGAATTTGGGCACACATCATTAAAGACTGCGAAATCCAGGCAGCTGAGTTTGAAGCTGAACGTTTTATCTGCTTCCCAGCACAAAGAGATTTTCCTGCTCCGTGATGATCCATGGTGAGTGACCCGGATGTTGCAATGTTTTGTTCTGTTACTACCATGTCTACAAAAACTTACTGGGGGCAGCAAGGTTGCTAACCAGATTGCCCTGATAAACCTGAGGTACAGGAGAATACCTACGCTCTGTTGTCAATACAAGGCTCTGTTGTCAATACAAGGCTCTGTTGTCAGTCCAAGACTGGGACTCCACAGACTTTCTTCCACCTCTGCTAGAGCAGCGGTGCACGGAGCTGCCACCTCTCTGGCAAGATAATGCATTGCCGTCTACCTGGTTCCTAAAGAACAAAAATTGCAATGATTCCACAGACACAGATCATTATTTAAAATAAAGCCATCATATACTACACATAGAATGCAAATACATATAAATCAAAATTAATTATGTTTCTTCTCATTTGAAGGAAAATTGTTATTGATTTATGCTTAGAACAGCAATACTTTGCGATTATTAGACAGATACTGTTAAACAGAAGCTTTTCATCTTCGCTATCAATTTCTAAAATTGTTCCCCTCACTATTCCTGTTGCCGTTTTTCTTCCTTCAAAAATTTGAAAAGCATGTCAAGTTGTTTTCCTGATCATTTGGTCTGGCTTACAGATACGAATGTTTTGCTTTTTCTGCTTATCACCCGCTTTCATTGATCCTAACTGTGGTTTTCTAGTTTGCACCTGTGCATTCATAATTTCATTATTTTAACGTCTCCCTCCCTTTTATTCAGCTACTTTGAAACTACTTTCATTCCTCAACTCTAGTTTTATAGTCTAGAGATTATTATTTTTTTTAATCCTCCTCTCCTTTTCTCTCCACAGTTTTGCCAGCTGTGCACCCTGCTTTTACTGCTTTACTTCTCTGACTGGAGGATTGCTTTTTAACCCCTTCTTCTGGGTCCCTTCCCTCCTACTCTCTCAGGATTTGATTACACAGTTACTTACAGAGGGAGTAAGTGATTCTTACTGGAGGCAAAGCACGTGACCTGTAGCATACCTAACACAAAAATAAAACAGTGACCCATGAGTGAATAGATACCTGCTGTGATACAAGTACAAGTGTCTTTGCACCTGGACATCTGAGGTTGAAATGGAGATGAATCTGCCAAACTAACGAGCCACTCAATATTTCAGCTGGTAAGATCTAACTGGTCCCAGTCCTCGTTGCAGGGCTCAACGTATAAAGAGTCAGAACAGTCAAAGAAATTCAAAGCTGGTTTGGCAGTCTTATACCTGACATTAATTTAGCTTCTCATGATTATGAAAATAAGAGGATAAAAGCTGGGGACAAAGGAAAAAGAAACAGAAAAGTTAGGAAAGAAAATAAGAGCTATTTTGCCTTATTAAGGAACACGGTTTAGTATTCAGTAAAACTGACATCCGTTCTACAGGTCCTAATTCCCTTCCCTCTGAAATCATTGATGCAGTTCCCACTACCACTAGTGGTGTGGAACAGACCCACGAAGATGGTACATCTCTCATTTCGGCACCAAGGCAGCGTCTAAATTAAGCAAATGGTATAGCTCAAAGGCAACCATTAGCACGCATACAGAAACATTAAAAAAACCCTGGCATTGCAAATACCAATCAGTCAAACTTGCAGTGTAGGTACAGCGTTGCACACCACTGCAAATCCCAGTCCTGGTTTTGTAAGCTGGCAGCAGTGTGTTCAAGAATGAAAAAAATACTCTTCCCTTTGCAAGGAGAAGGGGCTTGTACTCCATGCGTATGGCTTTTAAAAACACCTACTCGCGCTCTCCTTGGCCCCAGGACATAATGTTTGAGTCCAGTCTGGGTTCATCATTAAGATGAAGCACTGCCTTGGCGGCCTCTGAGGGAGAGCAATAGGTTTGCAAAAATATGACAGGCATGCATTTCTGCTGTTAAGGAGTGTGCTATAGCTTATGTCTCAGTGTGCAATTACAGATACTATAATCACTGTTTTAATTAAATCTGGGACTACAGCATTGGTTTACAAAGGAGACGGAAATATATGAATACAGAGACAGAGGAGAATTTATTTCTGTTTACGTGTGCAGTTCAGTGCATCACTGCCTGAATTTACAGCTCTCAGAGAAGACCTTAGCTGCCTTACACATGTAAAAACTATATTTTCTCCATGATCCATGTTTTTGCAGTCTTACACACGTTACCTGACGTAGCATTTCCCAAACTGATAGAAGCTGGGCCTGTCTTCAAGCTGAATGGATGCAATAAAACCAGTTATGACCTTCCCAGCACATCTTGCAATATGTTCTTAAAGACCTTAACATACAGATCTTCTGTGTGCTTAGCACAGTACTTCGTTTTGTCCACACGGACCTCTTGCAATTAGATTTACTTTGGAAGAAACCGTATGTCTTTCCTATAATCATTAGGACTAATTTTCAAAGCTAAATTTAAACTGGCATTTCACTCAGTGCATAACTGAAGTGAATGGGGGAATTCACACCCTGTTATTTCCATTTCAGGTTTTCTGTGAACTTAAGCAGTAATATCGAAAAATAGCTATATTCCAAGTGTAACACCTGTCATGATTACAACAGCTACAGACTCCATTAAAAAGAATGGGAAGAAAAAACAGAGGTGTTGCTTCCCTTTCCGTAGTGACTTGAATAGAATTATAGAGTTGTAAATCGTTAGTTTACATGCAAGGATGGTGAACATTATCTAAAAGTTCTTTTTGTTTTCTTTAAGAATGGAAACATAAATTCATGTGCATTTAAACAGCCCAATAATTGTGTGTGTTTGCTGCAGCTGTGTTACACAGATTTTACTGACGACATATATCTTCTCCAGTGAAATATTATCCTATGTAACTTGTTAAGAAATGTACACTAATTATTGAAACTGTGTTATTATGCATTTAAATTAGTACACAAGGTTTATATGGATGAAGAACAAAGTAACTGAGTAGAAAAATGCAACCATAAGATGGAGAAAACAATTTCTGCTTAGGAATTGGAAGAACAAAATCCCTGATTCTCTATGCCAATATTAAGAATACTACAGTCTTTAAACTTGCACTGGGACAGATTTTGTAGCCATATTTCTGGACAAATTCCACCATTAATCATTGTCACTGTTATGTTAGTTCACAGAACAAAAAAGATATCTCCCTTTCAGCATACATGTGATAAAGAGACGTTGTACCACACCTACACAGAGTGCATGCCACACCATTTGCATAGGAACTGATGGGTGAAAAAGACTGTGAAAAGAAAGAATATTATCCTCTCCACGCAGAGGTTACCTTGGTCTACAAAGATGCTGAATGTCTATCCCATCCTCAGTATCTTCCAAATGTATCTTAGGCCCCACTACTTCTACATT